AAGGTGGAGTTGTAATTCTGGGACGTCGACTAAGTGGCCTTTTGAACAAAAATTATTGAAAAAATTCCTGGGATCTCAAGTTGGAAGATGATGTTATAGGGAATTTCGTATTTGTATTTGACACACTGCCACATTGAGACTTTTTCTAAAACATCTAAATTTGTGAGATTTTGGGAAATTCTTGGGTGGAGTTATAATTATGGGACGCAGTGTAGTTATCGTTTTACAAGGAGTGATCACAATAGTTGGAATGTGGTGCGATTTGTTGACGCCACTGAACGTTTTGGTGGACTACGTCCCTAGCGCACTGGGGTGTGCTTGGGCCGTCTCCTAGTGCCCTTCCACAATCACGCTCACCAACGTCACCGAAGTCACTCCACTACCTCTACGAAAAAGCTAAATCTTATGACGAAAACATACCGTTAGACATTCCTTGAGACCACCGAGATTGGACCATCGAGGTACTTGGCAAGAGCATGAAGCTTGGCACGTAATAGACCCAACTGACAGTTTCTGGTCGCCTCAAATGGAAACGAACACTCAAACGCAGAGAACAAAAAAGTGAAATATGAAAGAACACCCATACTAGAACACTCACAAAACAGCCCAATAAGAATTGCCCCTTGACCACGTAAAAATGTTCATCTGACAGCATCCCCATAGATTAAAGCAGTAAGAGAGGACGCGAATTCTACGGTACTCGACGAAATGCAAATCGGATAAGCCTCCGCGAAATAACGAAGCTCTAATAGCCCTGAGACCTGGTAAGGACCTAATAACGGAAATAATAAACTAATTTGGTCTACCGGATGACCAGAAAAGAGGTGGACGACCGCTGACATGATAGTCAGGTTTCTATCAGTTCTGCTCATCAGTAGGACACAGTTCATATCGCTCGAGTAAACAGAACCCAGCAGACTATATGCGCAATGGGAACTGTTTGAGACGAGTTCGAGATTGATCGCCTCAACAATTAGTGGACGTGCTCCGATGAAACATCTCACAACGGACCAAGAAATAACTCACTTTCAACGGCAAGCAACATATTCGCTACTCGAGTTGCAGCCACAATTCCATCTTCGCATACTATAATTGACTCCTGTAAATCTTCTCGTCCGCCTAAAACCAGCAAAATAACCCGTGTAATATTCCATACATAAAATTAATTTTATGGAATTTTAGAATGAAAAACTGTGAGTAGCTCACCTTTTTTATCAAACGACTCCCATATACTGGAAATTAGGGCTGCAGAAATATTTGCATGGTCCTTATTATCACCGTAACCATTATAGGCCAACAAAAGCCCTGAACAAAATTCGGACTTTTAAAAAACTCACAAGTTGCGTCAATCGAACAACATCAAGCTATAACATTCATGAACGAAGAATCAATCAACACCTGCCCAGCAAAAACTTTTTGTTACTTCACATCAAACAAAACTATCAGTTGTACAAACATTCATACTGGGTACATATAATAAAGTCATGCACTGATTACTAAACTTGGAAATGACTAAATCCCCCTCCTTCGACAAAAATGAGAGAAGCATGCTGTCAAGCAGTGTACATTAACCCCTACCTCCAGGACTGTTGAAGAGCAAATTTGTAAGAACACACATCTCACGCTCCCCTCTTGCCACCGTTCCGCTGGATAATGGCAAATTCCATCCTTACACAAAGTTTCACTCCCTCACCCAAGCTGGCCCTTCATTCTGCTCTTGAGTCTACTGGTTTGGATATGCATACCTTCTCGATTGAATAATAAGGCTCCAGTTACTCCAGCGGTGTTCACTTGTCCAAGAACTTCTTCCAAAGCTTTCTGGCGCAACATCTAGATGAAATTCACTTTTAGTACATGCAAGATCTCAGATGAAATTGGCTATATCACCAAAAAGGCACATGAAAATCAATAGAAAATCATGATAATTCAAAATAAATGAAATATTCAGCAGTGTATGGCAAAACGTTGTACAGCACTCGACTCCTTCTTTCAAAAATTTATATACATAAATAATACATTAACAGAAACAATTCAAGACATACACAGATAAATACAAACAAGAAAGGTTTCAGAAGCAAAATCACTCCGTCCAACGGTGACTGCACGTGGTGTCCACGCATACATAGTAGAGTCTCATCTCCTCCTAAAAAAAAAAAAAATAAGGAAATAAATAAGGAATATAAGAAAAGAAGATAGCAGAAGAAAGAAGGAAACAGATGAAAAAAAGCTCTCAGTATGAGGCTATTTCAGAAAACCTTCCCATAACCAGTACAGTCAACGAATTCAAGAGACATTTTTCACAATGCAGCCGCGGCTAGACTACTACCTGCCCTACGATTTCACAGAAATCACGGCTTTACTGCTATGGAACCGGCCTGTATCTGCCTCCGAATTCTTTTCCGCGCGCAAGCTACCACTACACATATCCCGCAAAACCATCCAATAAGCCGCTGCGAAATCTATTTAACAATGCTCCCAATCTTTGAGCATATTTGGCCTCTTGCCTAGGCTATATGAGCCGACCCTCATATTCATCACCATCCAGGAAAATCACATCCATGCGCCGCTAATAATCACATCCAGGACAATCCATGCGCCGCATACGGAATAAATGAATGTCGCCGCTCATCTGCCACTTGAGGCAGTAGTAAAGTACTACCCAGCCCCGACTGAACCAGCAGGACTTACAAGAAGAACACAGTAGGGGTCTTCTACAATAGCGAGAGTAGTAATGGTAAGTCTTTCAAAGAGGTAAACACTTTTGTGAGCCGCGGAAAACCCACATACTTTTAGGCTGCAATCAATATTTGCCACCGACAACTTTATAGCTTAAAATTTGAACATTCAATAAAGACCTGACCTCTGCTTCTCCTAGGTTGAGCTTGACGAACACTGCTTGAAGTTGACCGCCGGACTTCGACAGGGTGTAATCTTCAGTTTGTGCGCAATTTTGGTCGTGTACCACCATCAAGCCAAAATTTGTGTCAATTCACTGGAATGTAAACATGCATTAGGGCAAGACAAAATAACTACCATATGAGCTATAAATATAACTACTTACTCTACTTCATGAACTAGTTTGTTCACATATATGCACGGATTGTCAGCAATCTGCTTATGATCACAATTTCTACACGCATACATGAGTTGACGATGTTCTTTGTCTTCTCGGGGGTACAACATATTGTTGCTGGAAATAAATTATCAAATATCTTCCAAGCGTGCAGAAATAAGAGTTGACTTTAATAAATTCACGACGGACTTTTGAGGAAACAGCATTTTCGTTTGACCGTCTTATATTTTTGAATCCACGTACACACGCACAATGAGATATCTGATACGAGAGCATTCTCAGACAGGACAGGGACAGGCGAAAGTTATCTAAAAATGAAAATGGGGCTCCGCGCATTCAGAATTTCTCTTCCCCTGCCATCCCGCTTCTCGCTAAGTCTGAGTCCCGTTTCTAAGCCAATCAGGAGAATGGTTTTTAGCGGTTCATATACAAGACTACCACAATACCCGCGGAGTGATCATTTTGTACTCCTACTGACTAGTATAGGGCGCCATTCGTTGCGGGACCCACTGCCTTAACCCGCGGGGATCCCGGTTGAATTCGAACATTCCAGCTTCTCACGCATGTCAAGTGTCTGCCCTCACCCCCCACCCCCCTAGACTGGCGACACTGCCCCTGGCTCACGGATTCCCCGCTCCACATTGAAGGGTTCACTGTAGCAGGAGGCAGTGGGACCCGTAACGAATGGCGTCCTTTACTAGTCAGAAGGAGTACAAAACGATGCGTTCCAATACCCCCATATCTGCGATAGCACCCGCAAAAGTTATGTCTTTTGTCGTGGCCAATGGCATTCTGGTTGAGAAAAAATAAGAAAGTTTAAACAAAAAGGCTCTTGCCTCATGAAATGACTGATTAGAAAGAGCGAACCGTTAACTTTGAAATGTTCTTTCGGCTCAAAAAGAACGAATAGCTACTATCATATATCTCTCGAACAAAATAATGCTACTCACCATTCTGGGCAGAACTTGATTCCCACAAAACCGGGACCACTCATGATGTTCCAGGTTACTGCCTTAAAATAAACTAAAAATACATTGTCAAACACGCCACGCCGGACCACTACTACCGCAACATCTGATTTTGAAACAAGAAACTTTTACGGGGTGAAAACGCAGTGAGACAAAAGATAGCTTTTGATTTGACTTGTTTTGCATGCGAAAGTTCCCGCAAGGATGATGGGTTACTTCAGCCTGAGTGGAGATCGGACCCGCACCTCTCGCTTTCTGAGCAGTTGTACTAGCAATTACACATCTGGTATTGTAGAGATACTTCGAAATCGGTACCATTACTGGTCGGGAAACAAAAGATATGGCTCTGACCCCCGCTTAGGGCGAGACTCCATCACCCGCCTATAACCGAGCAGGTGCGGTTCGCTAGACAGAAAGAATTTTCGCATTTCGCAGCGTGAAGCTCCTGTCGCTGCGGGAACCTCAGGGCCACTGAATATCAGGACCCAAGTCAATGGTAATCAGTCACACAAATATCTGAGAAGATGTTTCCAACTTCCTGTTCCTGTTTCAACTGCTATATAAGACGAACCTTTATTAGAAAAAAAATCTCATACATAGAACATGTTTAAGGATGACTTATTCCAAAGGAAAAAAATGTGAAGGTATGTACACGAGGGTTGAAATCGAGAAAGAAAACGCAGAGGACAATATGACAAACCCATGGATAAACAGCTCACTTCTGAATGTGCGAAATTCGGCGATCTGAAGACGATTTCTTTCTATAATACAACATGTGCAAGAATTCTGTAGCTCTATGAGCTCTCTGACTAATCCCCGATATCACAAATGGGTAGCAGAATGGAAACGGAGGAAGCACTATCACCAACATCAGTAAAACAGTGACCTAAAAAGAGTTACACCACAATTGGAATTTGGTAATGTACATAACAAAAGCCCCTAAATGAAACGAAACTGAAGCTACAACGCTTAAAAAAACAAAATCTGGAATTTAGGAACGATTCCACTGTACAAGTTTTCCTCAGAACTTCTCACTCTTCCCAGTCAACCCAGTTGTCGTCCTTCTTCTTCGACCCTTTGGATTCTTCTTCGTCTTTTGCACGAGGTGTAAGCGGGCCTGACTGTTCGTCTTCGCCATTTGTCGAGCTTATCTCCTGAATGAAGTCTGGTCATTCCAGAAAGCAGCAGCAGCACCCCAACCAGCATTAGGTATGAAATGATGAACAGAGTGTAAAGCACAACATAAGGAACTCGAGAAAAACTGGAAAAACCTCACCAATCCACCATTCGAAGACTTGAAATGAAATGTTTAACAGTAATGAAAGTTAATAGCCACATCAACTGTATAATTTACTGAAAGGTATAGCAGAGGAATGCATGCTTTCGCGTAGAACTCCAACTATTCCTATTTCTTGAAATACATGGGAAGAGAGTATGTCTTCCTAACTAATCCCACAAGCCGGATGCATGGCTCAATTTTAGTCCAGCTTTTGGGATCCATTTTCACTAAAACCGATGAATCGGATCGCTGTTGGCTGGCTATAAGGGAACCCCAACTATAATAGAAAACAAGCTAGCAAGTAATGATCGAAGTAGCCACACTAATGGATATCTATACCTCAACATAATTCTTCTCGCTGCACACACTCCAGTCATCTGCGGAAGGAGCCGGGCTGGTGGGCTGCTGATCAACAACAGCGATTGATCCGTCCGATTCCGGCGAATCTCCGCCCTCTTTTGATGGTCCTACAAACGCAAGCCTCATGCAATCAATAACTGGAATTCACGGATTTAAAGCTACGGCTAGAAAAATGTAGCCGAGAGATTTTGACCAGCTACGCAATCACCTTATAAATCTGGTATGCATTTGAATGCCTCAAAAAACAACACCAGAACTGTAGGTTACATGCTGCTCAACCATACCTTTTCTCTGCTTCTTCCCATCAGCACCAGTCTTAATTGTCAGTTCCTTCAGCGAAAAGGCATGGCGCAGCTCCTCATCCATTTCTGCGATTTGTACGGCGAAGAAGTATCTCGACCAGAACGTTTTGCTGTCCATTTCCGACGGAACCTTCAAACGCAATAATGCAGCAAAAACACCACATTGGAAAAATGTTTCTAAAAACCTGCTTAAATGACAATTGATATTGAAAGGAAAGGCAATGCTCCAAACACAAGAAATTCATAGAAACGTACCATCTTGGAGTAAATTTCTCTCTGTGATGGATTGTTTGCGATAAGCAGATTAATTTCAGCATCATATTCTTCCATATTGAATCGAGCTACCCATTTCGAATATCCCTCGGAATTCTCGGGCTCCTTACGGTATGTGTCTTCAGACGATTGTATTTCAAGCAGCTTTTCCTGGAAGGATAGTCTTGAGAAGACGAGAAAATAGGCTACTATAGTGGATCTTTTAACTGTTTGGAATCACACTGTATAGCAGTACCAAAAACTGTGCGAACTATTGTACTTAAATGAAACAGAAGATGCTGATAGATAAGCTTTTGAGTGAAAAAATCACTGAAAACGTCTAAGATAAGGAGAAATAGTTCAATGTGTCCTGTGCGCCGAGGCCTAGCACGGCAGACGAGGAAGCAAGAGAGCATCAGGGAGAGAAATGCAGAAAAAGTAAAGCTGGGTGTGCTCGATGATAAAGCCCTAGCGTTTATTCCACATATTCCGGGCCAAAGAAGCCCTAACTCAACGGTCAAAGGCTCAGCAACTTCATGGTTGCAGAGATTTGTCAAATCGAAGCGCAGAACTATTCAATGATAAGAAATGAAGAATGCTAAGATGGGTATTTCATGATAATTAATGATAACATTCAATAATACGCACTTTTGAACCACCTTTAGCTTCTCTCAATATTTAAAATTGTGCAGGAGAAAACTCACTGGAGGTAAAATTGTTTTGCGGAAGATTCTTGGTCGAATAATTTCAGTTATGTCTCCTTCGCCGCCGGTAGTCTCTTCCACCAAGCATTTTGACGTATCGGACGTGGCCCACGACGGACTTTAACCTCAAACCTAGTCCCGAAGGCCGCGCCTTTCTCAACTGCAAGGGTAGCGATTCAAGTAAGAAACGAAGGAATTAGTAACCACAAGCTCTTACAAGCATAGATCTCTACAATACGAAAGGATACAGTGGGAGTGCAAAGCATTCACACATCGACGGAATTCTTTATAATGGCCATTGCAATTTTCGGGGAAAAAAACTCTGAAAAAACGGACCTTGGCAGCCAAAGTGCTCTCATACGATTGCGATTTAGGCAGATCAGTCGGCGCTTCTACCTCTGTCTCGGACTTCCCTTCTTGATCGACAACCACAGGTTTCTCTTCTTCATCTGGAGTAACTAGCTTCTCCAAATACTGTGCCTGTTCTTTAATGACAGTTGTGGCCGTGTCAATACCTAGACGTGTCTTATGATACGTCGTAGATTTTGAAGTGATAACGCAGAGACTAACCTCCCTTCGCAGCAGTAGTGAGATCAGCAACTTCCTGAGTCATAGCGTCCCCGAACTCGGCCAAATCCTTCTTCATTAGATCAAAAGTGTTCTTGGTCTGAAGGAAAAACTATCACCTCATTGATGTTCATTTTCTTAAAGATCCGCCACCAATCCTATGCACTTCCCATCTACGCTGCTTAGTGGGGAAGCTTAAGCGATTCAACGAAAGTGGACGATTCGTATATGCCAAAGATGCGTAGAATAATTGTAAAAGTTTAGACCTCCCAAGCTATTACCCTTAATTGAGAGGCCTTTCAGCTCAAGCAATGCTTTTTCAAAATGGTTTTTTGGTGTGTATAGGAACACGTGCATGGAACAAAGAACTTTGCTGTTTTTACAAATGGGCGGCCTTTAACGCCGAGCAGAGGAATGAAATGTTTTTTCATTGGGTGCGATCCCTGCGTGACAGATTCCCGATTGGCGCTGCGTGCGGAGTGTCGCAAAATAGTACTCGCGGCGGGGGGGGTGTGAAAATGGGAGGGCGGATATTTACTTCAAGACCATCAAGTAACGCCAAACGTTTTACGCAAAAAGTTGGCTCTGATAAATGGTGTGGCGCCTTCGAGGTTTTGCACCCTTTTTAGGCTTTCAGGGACCAATAAGAGAAGTCAGACCGATCGTATGCGTGCCAGCTCTGCAACATATCTATCATGGCGCGGAAAAAAGCGTTGTTTCAAAAAAAGCTACGAACTTGAAAGACTCCCTGGCTGAAGCTTTGTTAACCACCGAGGACAAAAAGGAAGTTTTACGGCGTGCATTACACTACCCCAAACGAGCTCCTTCAACCTCCCTCCATCCCCTGCAAGTTCTGCACAGTACGTTTTAAAGGTATGTCGTCACTTGTTGTTCTTCAAACTCTATGCAAGAAGAAAACAATGGAAATTGGAAAGAGGAAATCCTAAACTTTTCGCGGCCCGGGAGAGTTCATAACTAAAAAATGATTGAAAAACACGTCGCACTTCAAAGACTTAACAGCTCACAGTGTCATATGTGTCATTTATGTCATTTAAAATTTGAAATAAAACCTGGAACTCCACCTTTTCTTTGGCAGTGTTGAACCAAGAAGCACCAGCGGAAATCCACGCAGCTGGAAGTGGATTCAGACTAGGCAACTCCTCCTCTGTGGTACCGCCTTCCGGTAGTTGCGCTGGTTTCGATTCGTCCTTACCAGGCTCTTCAGTTACTAGTGGTGTAGAAGATTTCTCTTCGCTCATCTATTGAAGAAAAAACTTGTTAAAATCCTTGGAAGTACTCAGCAAAGGCGAGGACTAGCTTGTAAATGTGTTCATCGGCAAAGAAATTCAATTCATGCTTTGATGACTTGAAAGCTCAGCAGTTCCCAACGACACTGGGAACTGCTGAAAATGGCACGCGCTTTCACACACTGAACATTGATCGCTTCCGATCGATCGGAGACAAAGTGAAAGCGAACTGATAACTGGCCTTGTATATTAGCAAATTTCAACAAACAGAGTGCATGGAGCTCTTCACGAAGACTAAACAACAGGCAGCGAGTTCATTTAGAGAAGGATTGAACGGAGTCATGAATACACTCAATCGACAGGGCTTTCCAACGAAACGAACGATACGTTGTGAACCGCCGCCCTTGTAGAGCGGAACCAGTGCCATCGTGGGCAATGTCAGTGGATCTAGTTCTTATCGAATACATGATCGTAGACTGGAAGTTGTAATGAAGGAAATCGACCTCATCACGTTCGCTTTTTTGAATCCTAGATGATAAGGCGATTCTAGCCATTAGACTAGTCATAATATAATTATTAGTAAATGTACAAACAAACAAATTGCACATGTGTAACAACCCTACTTCCCACAGAAAGTTTTAGAGGATGTCACTCGGTCACACTTGAAGATCAGATATATACTATTGGGTTGTTCGGAAAGTTTCCGCCGTTTTTAGTAACTCAGTTTCGAACGCTTCATTTATGAATCACTTCTTACAAGGGAGGTCGTTCAGGGTGTGCCAAGCTTTTTCAAAATGGTTTCTTGCATGACATTGGGGCACATGTGGGAACCACAGAACCATGGTTCATTTTTCCTGAACGGCCCTCTGAATACCAGAAAAGGGGTCCCTAGTTCGATTCCTCGTGGTGACAAATTTTTGCATTTCGAGTTGACGTTTCAAAATTCGCGCAAAATGGAGTCATGAACAATGAATCCATATTCATAATTAGGACCGTCAGTAACCCTTAAAAGACTTTTAGATTGAAAAACTGGTCGAAGAAGGTGTTGACACCAAAACGGCCCCACTGTGATGTCACACTTTTTCACCAGTTTTTTAATCAAAGTCTATTTGTAAGGGTTACTGACGACGTCCTAAATCATGAATATGGTACTAATTATTCATGCTAACTCCATTTTGCGCGAATTTTGAAAACGTCAACTCGAAATGCAAAAATTTGTCACCACGAGGAATCGAACTAGGGACCCCTTTTCTGGTATTCAGAGGGCCGTTCAGGAAAAACGGAACCATGGTTTCGTGGTTCCACATGTGCCCCAATGTCATGCAAGAAACCGTTTTGAAAAAGCTTGGCACACCCTGAACGACCTCCCTTGTAAGAAGCGATTCATAAATGAAGCGTTCGAA